TTTCTATTCTATGTAGTTTTTTCTTTTAATTTATTATAAAAAAATTAAAAACCCTTGCTACATGTACAGCGTTAGGCTAACAGAGTTGTCAAAGCACTTACATATTGTTGCCCTTTTGATGGTTTTGATTGCTTCTATTGCCCTCATTTGTAAGTCACTTTGGATAAAAGTGACTGCTCATTTACTAAATTTAAATTTATTTATCTTGTGCATTTATACATCTTGGTTTCTTTAGTTCATGGTCAGTTATTGTCTATGCATGTTTGCCTGCTGTTGTTTTTTTCTTCATCTTTGTACCCTTTAGACAATCCTTTTTTTTTAAACAAACTTGCTGAAACTGGATACACTGTCCCTGCTCTGCCTTGCTGTGACAGGTGTTTTATGAAGAATTGAATTACTGAAACATACATTTAAAATTTAATGGAAGCCCTGTGTGTTATCACCTTAAATTCTTTCTTAAAGCTGAAAGCATCAGATATATTCACTGATCACTGAGTTTACTTCAACTGTATCACCACAGTCAAAGCTTTCTGGAAGTCATCTGTGCTCCAGATTACAAACCCTACCAGATAAATAAACACAATAAGTAAACACATTATCTTCTGTTTGTTTTGTTCTTTACACAGGCTATGTGGATGTAATCTCACTGCTCAGTCCTGTGAAAGTTTGTCATCAGCTCTACAATCCTCAAACTCTGCCCTGAGAGAGCTGGACCTGAGTAACAATGACCTGCAGGATTCAGGAGTGAAGCTGCTTTCTGATGGACTGAAGAGTCCACATTGTCAGCTGGAGATACTGAGGTAAATGGTTTTCAATCAAATAACAATATTCAGTGTGTTTATCAATTTGTAAAGCTTGTGATGTAACTGTTAGGGGTGTAAATCGGATGGTTCATCACGATACGATACGATATTGATTCTGTTCTGTTGTAAGTAATCTTAAAGATTCCTAAATGCATCTACTTTCGGAAGGCCAAATAAAGTGCTTTTGCTTTCGGCTAGAAACACACAGCGTCTCCCTGACATGCTGCATCAACACTAACTGCGGTTACTGAAACCACGCCTTCTTTCTTTGCATGCACTTAGTGAGGTAGATATGGGGGAGAACGAGCGAACGAGCCATTTTAGGGGGGCGTGGCAGAGTCTTAACTTTGATAAAGAATATCTCTTTGGTTTTGAGACTTGCAACTTCAGGGATCTTATCTATTCATGATCAGCTTGTAACACTCCAAAGAGAAAGGAAAACTTGAAATCGCATCATATGACCCCTTTAACAAATTCAGCCATTGCTCTTTACTTAGAAGACATGTTAAGAGTCACAAACTGCACGGAGACATGAAAGCTGAGGATCCAAGTACAATATTTATTAAAGGGTAATCAAAAGATGTAACAAGCAAAATGTCATGCACAAACAATCAACCAAACAGTAACAACAGGGCAATATACACAGGCAGGGAATCAAAAACCAAGAGACATGAAACAAGGACATGTTCAGAATTGCAGAGTGACATACAGCAAGACTTTACTAACAGTGCCTGAAAGATACATCGCTTTTAAAGGCAGAGGTAATGAGATAATGAGACACAACTGAATGCAATCAGTGATGGTGAGACTGGGCAGCGAGTCCTGGGAAATGTAGTTCATGAGGCAGTAACAATATTCTGGGATGGAGTGCCCTCTGGTGGCTAGCAAGGACACTCCAGCTGGAGATCGTGACATTAGGGTTCATTAGATATATAATCTTCCAGCAAGTCTGCTTGATCAGTTACCGAAGAAGCATGTCAAAATTATTCAGAAAAACAAGATTTTCTTATCAAAGTGATAAAATGTTAAAAGTTACTAAATAAAACTAAATAATTTTTTTTCTGGTATAAGTTTAAGGCAATATTGATCAAAAGATAAGTATGTTGAACCAAAACAATTAAAGTAATATAGCAAAAGTAACTGTTACAACCGGCTCCAAATTGCAACATAAACAAGAGCCAACACAGACCAGCAAGTAGTAAAGAAAAGTAGTTTATTTAACAAAAGCATAATTAACAAAGGTATTCAAACAGTCAGTAGTCAGTATTATTGTAAGTCAGTGATGTAAGCGTGCATAACAGTGGACTGTAAGCTCAAGGTCTGAACTGTATGCAAACAAAATAAACAACAAAACAAAAGAGAAAGCAGCAGGTCCGGTTAGTGTGGTCACATCGTGCCCCCGTCCACATCAGCGCTGCAGTTTTTATAGCTCCGCATAATAAGCCTCAGGTGGAAAGACACACCTATGTGTATATGTGTATATATATATATATATATATATATATATATATATATATATATATATATATATATATATATATAATATGAAGAGTTTGGTTCCAAAACGTGATAAACGCCATTTTTTTGAGTTCCCGCCAAAATCAGTATTGTATCTGGTCTGCATTGAAAAGTCAATTTGTAATTTTACACAAAATGCGATATCCGCCGTGCTATTCGGTCATGTTTCTCCCTATCTTTCCAAACCGAGACAAACACCAGTCTCCCTTCTCTGCAGAATGCGATACATCAGCTCAACCAATCACAGCGCACCATTCCATGCATTGTAAACAGCAACTGACAAGCTACGCAATATCGCTTTCATATTAATCACAGATTAATCGTATTAAATGCCGCTCCATCTGAAAGCATGTGATGGAGATTTACTACTAATCACAGAACCGGCTTTACTGACGAGATGTGCAAGACAATCGCATGCGATCTATCGCGCAGCCCAAAAAAAAACCGGGGGGGATTCCTGCGATGGGGAAGAAACGAAAGCTATTAATAAGATTAGTATTGATCAAGTTCAGAGGCTGTCATATGTGGATCAACTTACTTTGTTGTGTATTTTCAACAGTTTCAATATGAAAAATAACTTTTATATTGATTCAATGGATTTAATGCATTTTGGGAAAAAATAATCAGTTTTTATAATAAATTTTTTAATGTTATTATACATTTTTAATGTTATTTTAACCTAAAGATGCTATGTGAACGTTTGAAACAGAAAATAGTGGTTTTCATCTTGCCACTTTCTTGGTAAAGAAAACACATTTTTACTCAAATTAATCAAAATGGATTTATAGGGTTTTGGAACCAAACTCTTCATACATATATAAAATGTATTTATAGGGTTTTTGAACCAAACTCTTCATACATATATATATATATATATATATATATATATATATATATCAATTTATAAGTTAGTTAATATATTAATTTTATAAGTAAATGTTAATTAAATATGCAGTTATTACTAAACTAAAGCAGGATTTTCCTTTAATTAGGAGGCACCTAACATAAAACATTGTATCTACACGTCAGAAGCAGAGTGAGCACTTGGAGTTTGTCAGAAATAGAATGGGACCATCAGGGATTTGTCACTTGCAACGCGCTGCATCCAGTGTAGACAAAATAATATTATAATGGGTTCTATAATGAGCTCTATTGTCTTTAGTCGTGTCTTTTTTATTTTGGTGATCATTAACAACTGTTAATAGTCAGTAATTCATAGTTTACTGCTATACTTGGTTTAAAATCTAGTATTATTGCAAAACTGCAAGATTTGTAAATGATGCATGGAGGGTCACATATAAAATATTTTAATAGTCAAGCTGCAGCCTGTTTGAAATTCATCGCTGGGCCATGATTGGCCCTGGGCTGGACTTTGGACACCCCTGATAAAAGGACTGTCAATAAATCAAACATTTTTATCACAATTAATCACAAAAGGACACCAAATTTTAAAAATAAAATAACTCAAATTCACAGTGTACAGTATGTGTAGAGTGCATCAACAAAGAGCTTGTTTACATTTTAGGCAAGTTGTGATACTGATCAGGATCACATGGAGATGCCAAAAAACCCGAAATCACCTTGAGTTGACTGTATATATCTACTACAGCACACAGATCTATTCAGAATTACTAAAAACAGTACATGACAAATCAAACCATTATCCTGAAGGTGTGTGGAAACAACACAAATGTATTGAAATGTGTCTGTGCCTAAATACAATGTGCTGAGAAAGTCAGTGTGTTGAGAGCACACATAAATGTTTTGTTTTTGCATCATTATAACAGACTCAAACGTGCTTACTGTACAACTCCTGTATGTCACTGCAGTCGGTATTACTTTGATTGTGATCCTCATCCATCACAACTTTACTAGTGAGATGCTGGTTTCCTTTATCCAGCCAAGAAGCATAGTTTGCACTTCATCTGGCCATACAGTAGTGGGATGTTTTGATGTTCCGTTCAGTCTGTATTTCAGACATAGTGCGATGTCTGAGGAAACAATCACTGAATATGACAGGGCTCGTGGTTTAAAGGCAAACACACACTGGACTGAATAATTAAGGCTTTCAGCCTGGTTCTCTTTACATTAGCGCTGTTTTGGACTTTTACAGCTAAACACCTTTGTGTTGTTATATTGTGTTAGTTTAACAAAATCATCAGCTGAAGTTTATTGCTGATATAGATATTAATATATGTGTTTGCAGACACAAGGTCAACAGTCACAGTCGAGTGTTTACATACTGGCTTTGACGTTCCAATATGGAGGGCGGCTTATGCTAACCGCCTGTGTGACGAAAATTACGTTGCACTTTCATGTGCTTCAGTAATATATATATATATATACACTCTAAAAACAAGGTTGTTTCAACCCAACTTTTTTGGGT